TCTTGATGGATGTATGTGTGTATATATATATAATTAATGAAATAAAGAAAAGTGGTTGAATATAAATGATTCATGTAAAATGAAAAAAAATAACAATATAATACTTAATGTATGGGACCTCACATCTATACAATCCAACAATTGCGAACAACCATCTAATAAAAATTAATAAATAAATAAAAAAAAAAGAATTAGTAATAAATATAATAAACATGTAATTTATCAATCTTATGTCACTGATTAAATTTGGGAGAGTGTATTGGTGATAACAATTATTTTTGTTTTGTATGGATCAGAATGAATGGGGATCAATGAATTGATTTTGGTATTAGTGAATAATTTTGGTTAAAGAAAGATAAAAGTTTTAAATAAAATATTTCTATTTTATTTATTTAGTTTTATTTAGTCGAAACTAATTAACTTGTAAGAAAGTTTTTCTTTTACATTAGGTTGAAATCAAATTCATTATATACATGTTCTTTACATATTAGCCCAAATTGCGTGAATCTGCTCAGTTTGGGTGATTCTGCCCATTCCAGGAGAATTGTCATTAATCTCTACTAAATAAAGTTAAATAAATATGAATGTGCTACAGATTGATTAATAATAATTAAACATGCAAAATGCAGTGTTGTGCAATTGGAACATTGTAATGCTATTGGAATGTTCCAATGTGGCTCCAATATGGGTTCTTCAGTTAATATTGACCAATAAAATTTGTGTGTGAGACACTCTAATTGAACTTCATTGGTTGACTTCATTGGAACCACATTTAGAATGTTCCAATTCCAATTAGAATTTGTTGGAATGTTCCAATGAAAATTTATTGGAACCATAAATTGGGGTGTTAGATATTAGTATAGCCACAAACATAGGGGAATCAAATAATAAAATCAAATAGTAAAGATTTTTGTTGATCATTTTTATAATAATTAACAAATGCAAAATTACTATTTATCAATTAAGAAAAATCACCTTTACAGATGGGGTTTTCCAATTCTGAAAAGTGTTTTGTATTCCTAAAATATGTGTTTACAATGTAACAATGCTATTTTTTCGCAAATACTTGTAACATTGCCCTATAAAAAATTGGCATGGAAATGTATGGGAAAATGTATGGAAAACTGTACATTTTTGTATGGAAAAGTACAGAAAAATCCCTTGAAAATGTATGGAAAATGCAAGGAAACTGCGCCTTCCATACAAATTCCATGCATTTTCCCATAAATTTCCATGCCAAATTTTTTATAGGGTTGATGTGCTTGCATATTACTACAGTCAACCCTCTAAATACATGCTTTCATTCATTCCCAAGCTCGGGAATTAGAGATAAGTGCACACCCCTTCCCCCTCCCCCCTGCACTGCACAGCCTTTTTTCATTCCCATTTATATAAAACTCCCTCTCTAAGTGCACCCCCGTGACTTTCACATGATCGTTTCCCAATAAAATTGTGCAATGTTATTAAATTAAAATACTTTTTCTTTAAAGAATTGATTTTTTAAGAGATGATAAAGAATTAAATTTTATACTTAGTAAATAATAATAAAGAATATAAAGAATTAAATTTATTATTAGTAAAAGGTAAAGAATTAAATTTATTAGTATGACAGAATTATTTTGTAAGAGGTGGATAAAGAATTGTTCATTTTTATTAAGTGACAGGGAAATAAAGAACCTGGTGATTATAAATTCATGACTCATCATTCTAGTTATGTTATAATAAAAAAGTTTTTCAATACCTTTTGGATTATATGAGGGGAACCAAGTAATAATAATAATGGTACTATAGTAATCGAAAATTTTAAGGAAAATGCCCAATTTTAAATGATGATTCAACTTAACATGTTCTGTATTGATGTAAAACCTCTTCACATAGTACACTATTAGTGTGCCTTATTATAAATATAATGTTTATTTGTATTAATCAGTCTCAGGGCAAATAAAAACTGGTAAAATAATTAATCCTCTTACAAACTTTCATGCTGTTGACTTTACACAATCCTCTAAAAATAGATGCACACCTCAAGTAAAAAGAATAAATTCCACTACAACGCAAATGCCTTCAAGATACAATAAAAAACATGTCATTATTCGTGAATGCATAATTAACAAGTGGAATCTATGTTGTTTTGAAGTAACTTAATTGTTGATATGCGAATGAATCACGAAAATTGCCAATTGTCAACCTTTACACAAAAATTGTATTGTATTATCCTTTTTGTGCCATAGGATGGATGATATAAAAATTAACGTTTGATTTTTATTATAATTCCTTAAATATATACTTTTTACCTTGCAATTCATGGGTAAGGGTGTCAACATCAAAATCACGATTTTGAGAAAATTGAAAAAAGATCTGCACCTCTAATATTTATTTTTTAAACCTTTAATGGAAAATATCTCAAAATTTTATCAAGTCAGCATGGTTACTAAATCAATTTTCGTGATGAATTGCATATATAAATGTTGTCAACTCAAAAACCATGATCTTTGTAGTTTCTATTGTCAATCTCTTGTTTACTATTTTTTAAAAAAACTCTAACAGAAAATTTCTCAAAATTTTATTAAGTGGGAATAGTTTCTAAGCTAAAATTATTTCTTGTGACAAGTTACGTATATATGTGGTATCAACTCAAAATTATGTTTTTTGACGTTGACCCCATTTCTATTGCCATGCCCCAAATTCCCAAAAGAAATTAACCTCCCAAACTGAATTTAAAAAAAATAATTATACAATTAAAAAAAAAAAAATAATATATAAAATTACATCATTATTGGTCTTCTTTTTCAAGCTTAGATAATAATTTATTGATATCATGATCAACATTATTCTTTGGTTTTGCTTCAGATAACCTTCTTGCAGTTCGTAAACTTAAAGCTTCATTTCTAAATAATGGACTTTGGAAACTTTCCCCATTACTACTGTGTGAATCATTTTTTGCAGCAGCATTAATAGCAGCAATTACATCAGAACTTGGAGAGGTGGTAGTTGTAAAGTTTGTAGGAGTTACATTACCTAATTCAGTAATTGAGTTCAATTGAGTATCAATTTTTGGTAGTGTGCTGCCAATATGTGAACTTTTAGTACTGCTGGAACATGAAGGTGCATATATACTAGAGGCTGCAATAGATGATGCTTTAAGTCTATCATTATCGGCTTGCAAATATGATGAATCTGATCCATCATTATTTGATGATGATATATTATCATTGCTGTTATTATCATCATTGTCATCATAATTGTAATTGTCAATGTTATCATTGTTATTTTCTTCGTAGTTTAAAGTAGATGATGGGTAAGGAAATATTGGAGATTGTGAACGTGGCTGATAAGGATTGCCAAGATAATCATCAACCCTATATTTTCCTTTAGAAGCATCGTTTGGATCATCTATAGTGAGTTTATTACTATCAGAACTATTTTTATTTTTTAATGTAGATGGTAGTGTTAAGGGTGGTGGTTGATAAGGATTGTCACGATAGTCATCAACACTAAATTGTCTTCTAAGAGGATTTCGATGAACATCATTTGAATCAACAATAGCAAGTTTACTATCAGAACTATTTTTTTTTTTTAATATAGATGGTGGTAATAAATGTGGTGGCGGGATTGGTAATGATGATGTTGAATTGTCTGATGTGTTTTTGTTTGATGTTAAAGAGTTGGGTAATTGATTAAATGGTAGATTACCGGTTAATGGTGGCGAATGAGATTGATTTGATTCATAAGGTGCTGTGAAATATGAATTGCGCCTTTTTTGTCTCCTTTTACACACATAAATGATTAAACCAATAATCAACAAAACTAATATAAATGCTGATCCAGCAATTATTCCTATAATATATGGTGGTAATGATTGTAGTGATGACAAGAATGATGATAAACCATCTTGTCCAGAATCATCAGAATTTGTTGAGATAGAAGGACTTGAAGGACTTGGATCTGATAATAATGATGACGATGTAGCAGAAGTATCTGTAGAAGTTTGTGATGGTGCTGGTGACATAGAAGTTGATGATTGTATTGGAATCTTAGGTGTATATGTTTCCAACCATGTATAAGTTGTAGAATCAAGTATAAATATATTTGATGATGATACTGTTTTAAAATCATCAGCTGACTAATATAAAATAAACATTTTATTTTTAAAATTATATAGATATATGATAGATATATAAATAGATATGAAAATAGATATAGTAATATTTTTACTCACCATAAATCCTATGTAATAATTTGTTTAAAAAAAATTAATAAATAATTAAACTAATAAATTTATTTTCTGACAATTATTATAATTATTTACCATATGTAATTATAATATTAGTTCCAACCATTGTCATTGTATGATCAAACAATCCTGGTGGTTTAGCTATTCCCACAGGTTGGATAGTTTTCCATGTCAGTGTAGTTGTATCAAGTTCTAACACATCATTATAAATAGCTGATGCATCAATATTACGACCACCATAAATAATAATTTTCATGTCTGTTGCTAATGATAAACAGGAAGAAAGATATAGTGTGTTGATAGACATGCATGTAAATAATCAATTAATTTTGCTGAAAAGATATTTAATATTTGAAAACTTACTTCCAACAGCTCGATGACCTCTTCTTTGTTGGGGAGTAACACCTAAAGTGGCCTAAACATTTAAATAAAATCATGTAAATAAGCTATTTAAATTTAGTAATTAAATATAATAGTTATAATTATGATTACAATGTAATGAATGTAATGTAAAAACATTTAACCTTTGAGGTCCAAGTATCTAGATTAGTGTCATAAATAGTAATTAGATTCATGTCTGATAGGGGAGGGGAACCTGTACCAGCCACCACATTACTAATACCACCAATAACATAAATGAGATTATCACTTAGTAAAGTTGAAGTATGATGAGAAATTCCTTTTGGTAAAACACTTATTGGTGACATTTTAAATATGTTTGTTAATGAATCATACACACATAATGTATTTAATACATCACTGACATCATCATTTAAAACAACAGGTGAGGATCCACCTAATATAAAAACTTTTGAATCATATTTGGTGACTGAGGTGTGTAGCACACGATTAGTACATTCTGTTGCAACTGCTTTAGAAGCTAATGACTTGCTTGTTGTATCAAAAATATATAATGAATCTGGGAGTGCCTTCCCATTTGACATTCCACCAAATATTATTAATGAATTGTTATTTTGACCTCCAATTGACATACTGTGAAATGCAACAGGACTATCTGCTGTTAATGGATTCCATACTGGATTTTTTGGATCAAAGTTTACTGATACATCCAAATACAATATCTCAGTTGTGTCAATGCCAGGACTAAACTCATCAATATTATCAAGATCATCCGCAGTTAAGAATCTACCTCCATAAACATATAAACTTTTTTTTGAAAGAAAAATAATTAGATGAAAATTATTTTTGAAATAATTTTTGAAATGTATATATTTAACTTACTATTTTTCACCCACTAATGTGCCTGTATGACCCCTATTATTATTATTATTATTATTATTATTATAATATTATTATTATTGTTGTTGTTATTGTTGTTGTTATTATAAATAAAATATTATCTAGTTCACTTACCATCTTTTTGCAGCTGGATCACAATTGACCAATAAAGAACCATTTAACAAAATTATTGATAAAATAACAATAAAATATCTTATCAATAATGATTTATTAAATAGATTATAATCAATTTTAAAAACCATACTAATATTAATATTCATTATCATTATTATATTATTACGATATTAATATGATTAGTTTCTTTAAAAAACTATATTTACAAAAAATACATATTATAAATATATTTAAATTTTTAAATATTAAAGAGTCCAATTAGTTTTTTAAAAAAATTTATTCTCTTAATGCTACTGATTTAAATTACATGTATATTTTTTATTATTATTATTTTTTTTTTGATGAATCACATGTAATAAAATTTAAAAAAAATAGTCATACAAATATTATTAATATGGAGATAATTGTTTTTTGTTTAAATCGAATCGAAGATAAACTTATTTTATTATTATTTTTATTGACAAAACAAATATGGGATCTTCAATAGAGCCTAAAATAATTATATATATTAATTTGTGATTTTTATATAAGATCGGCAGGACATTTAAACAAATATTCATATTATAAGAGTTTTAGTTAATGTAGTGGGTAGAATTACTAACATTGAAAGCCAGGAAATGAACTAGTTATTTCCTGTGTGTCACAGAGGAATATAACAAATGGTTTTCCTGTTACTATTACCATGGAAAACCCTTGTTATACCCGGAGTAACTAATACATATTAATATAAATAAATTGAAAATACCCAATTATTAATTAGCCCAACCACTTGAATTAACCTTTTATTTGAAAGCTTCTTTTTGACCAGAGAAGCCGACAAAGCTAGACGATATAGAGCTAAATAAAAATGATGTTTCAAAACCCCAAATGAAACTTTAAGTCTTATTTTTCGATGTTATAAAAGAAACTCAATAAAGGCAAAGCATTTTAAAAAGAAAGGAGAAAAGCACTTTTACTCCTGTTTCTCATATTCCTTGTAATTCGAATAAAATTTATTAGTTTTATTAATTCGTACATGTAAATAATAATAATAATAATAATAATAATAATAATAACGCCTGTTCCCTCAGTATTTAATCAGCGAGGAGCATCAGCATTTTTTTCTAATTCTTTCATTAAACTATCAGCAATGAAAAACGCCAATAGAGCATTGTAAGTCCAATTATAGAAAATCGATCGACACAAAATATTTTGTCAAAAAACCTTATTTTTCTTTTTTTATATATAGTTTTTTTTTTGTTTTTGACATTTCTGTATAACAAACAATTCCACAAACACAATCGATTTTTTTTCCTTCAATTAGTAAATTTTACGTTTCAAATTTTTTTGATCTTGTATATTAGCATTAGCGTTAGTATTGAAAACGTCTGGTTTTTTTTTTTAAATTTTTTTTTAATTTTTAATTGCGTTGTGATATTATACTCTCTATGATCATGATATGACGGGGAGGGAGGAAAGAAATAACATGGCGTGTTGATGGAGATGTTGAAAATCAAACTTTGTTAAACTTCATTTTTTTGTGTAAAAATTGACTTACAGATCAATTTATTTTCTTTCCAGATCGTAAAACCTTTCTGCTTTCAATGACACCTGATAACCTTCCGTTTTTTCTTTTGCTAGTCTTTTAACTTGTGCTTGATTTCTCGGCTATCTTCTTCCATGTTGAAACCAACATGAATTTAATAATGATAATTATTATTGGCAAGAATAAGAAAGGACGGTATATCCTTTTTTTTTGTCATAAGACAAAGAACTATTACCTTTTTGACCAAATTGTTTTTTTCGATCGGCAAATAATAAGCCATTACTTTTTTGGTTAACATAACTATTAATTAATGATCTTAGCAAACAAAACCATTACTTTTTTGATATGGCTTACATCAACCGATCCATTCCTTTCTAAAATTTGTTGGTATTGTATTTTATAAATTATCATTCTTTGCATTATTATTCATTGTTATTAATTATTTTCTATGTAGGTTAGCCAAATTGATTTCAACCCTCCAATGAAATTGCGGCGCGTGTGAATTCTGAATTACTGGTTATCATTGTGAAAATGACAAGTTTCTAAATATGAAATGGACTAATGTATATGTGTGTATGTAAAAAAAAACCTTCTTAATCTTCTTTTTATTGTTGTGAAATTGAAAACCATAACTATAATTAAAATTTTGGATGGATATAAAATTCTGATTAGCTAATTATGTTGAATGGCGAATTCATTTTCACGCCAAAGAAAGTAAAATACAAAAAAAGAATCATTGTTTACTTCAATATCTCTTATAAATAATGTAGTAACTGATGATAGGTTCATCACATACAAAGTTAGCGATGCCGAATTCAGATTGAAAAATAAAATTTCTTTTGATTGCAAGCAGACTTGCAATAGAATGCGATGAAATAAACGTGATGCAATTTTATCTTTAAATTTTTTTGTGTTAAAATTGTATACTTATGTTAAACAACTATTTATTTATTTATTTTGAACACTTTTTAATAAATGGTCTTACAATTGAGTGTTTTTTCATCACCAATTGATTAAAAAAGATAGCAAAAGCAACCTTTACTTAAGTACAACAGTGCCTCAGGCAAAACAAACTATATACTAAAGCCATTTGCAAGTTTAAGCATAGTCAAAGATTCACGAATGCTGAGGCAATCTTGAAATTGTTTCGGTTGTTTGGGAAGTCGGAAGATATCAGAATGAGTTAATTTTCTTGCATGGGTTTATAATATGGAATAGCAAAAAAAAGCAGCAATAAACATGATGCAGAAACAATTGCTAACGAGAAGCAACATGAAAGTGTCGGAAACATTAAGTCAATAGTCAATGAATTCAAAGGTTCTTCTGCTATAAATAAGAATAAAAGATATGATGCAAATGAGAAAGGTAGCCCGTTCAAGTTTTCCTCTAATTGTTTACTGTTAAGATGATCTAAAAATATTTATTTAAATATCAAATTATATTTCTTTCCACAAATTTATAAAGATCATAAATGGAAAGTCAAATCATGGAACAAAAAAAAAATCAAGAAGCTGCGGAGTCAAAAGTGGAATTGCTGAAATCATTATTGGATGGTCTTTCTTGACATTTTTTTAATTTAGATAGTAATGAACATGTAGACAAAGTCACTGACGATGATAAAGTTGATGAAGATAATCCCAACAAGTAGTAATGTGTACACAATATATGTTCACGTCTCCGATGTTAAAAGTGATAAGAAAAAATATTTGTAATAATAATTTCATATTATTATTACATCATTACCTTCAAATATAAAATCTCCGAGTCATCAAAACAAAAATATTTGGTTTAACTATACAATAAATATTTTTAGTTTGCTATTACTCTTTAAACATTGAATCTGATTATAAAAGCGTTTATACAATTCTCGATTTTTGTGCGCAGTGACTGCCAATAAGAAACAACTTGTTTCCATTTTAAATCAATTGAATTAGAGCCGTCACAAAATATACAAAGATCGATAATCGATTTTGTCACTTTGGAACACACAAATGTCCGTCATTCATAATTTTTATAGGGATTAAGATCTAAAGAATCCTCATTTTCAAAAAGAAATCGCCATTGGGTGAAGATATTGATGTTCCAAAATACATATCCGGACCATGCAGAAAAAACTTAAGATTCTTTGGCAAGGAGAAAAATGGGACACAAAGACAATAGAGCAACATCTGTTTTTCTGTCAGAAGTGGTTTTAAATCAGTAATTCTGGAGAAAATCTTAAGCTCATATAAATTTCTGTAAAGTGTACCAGATGAAATTTAAACTCCTCAATATGTTTTTTTTTGAATTTTATTTATTGACAAAAATTCAGATAATGTCAAAGGTGTGAACTGCATTTTGCGATTTAAGTTGCTTGGAAATATCCTTTTGTTACCTCCGTGAGAGTCTAAAATTTTTCCTCGCATAAACTCTTCATTTTAAAGAAAATTCTTTTTTGCAAACTTCATATGACATGAATGGGATAGTTCAATATTAAGTGTGATGGGCTGGGACAAAGATCGGTTACAAATATTGTTTATTATTTTTTTTTAAAAAAAAAGAAAATAATAAATGAAACATTCAAATTATTGAAAGTCAGGAAAATGTATAATGTGCTCGTTTACAATTTAGGGTTGATGAATTTGGCCATGACTTTATATCCTTCCCGCGCTTTCCTTCGGGAGATAGAGCGATAGTGCATAATGAGAAATTAGTTTTCACTTGGAACTTTCCTTCAAGAGGTATCATCCTAAATTCATTTAAAAATTATTTTCATTCAATCAACTAATTTTCACGATAAAATCATAGAGAAGCATACGAAAAGAATTATTTTATGATTTTGATTGGATCTTTAAAGGAAACCAGGGTGTACGAAAATAATTAAATCTTAGAATTAGTGTTGAAAATTATAAAGTAAATATTAATATATTAATTATAATTTTTAGAACATTAATTAATCCTAACATAAAAATTAATAATGATATTGAAACCAAGTTGTGAATTAGAAATTGCAAGTAGTATTATGCTAAGTTATAAATTACAGTATATTTAATCATTTAATAGATAAGTTTTATTGACTTTTTCGCCAGTTGGGAGAATTACTTTATGAGTAATTATTTTAGAGCTCCTAGTATTGGGTATAGAAGTCTGATTATTGTTGTCATTAATTGTAATTAACTGGTCATTCTGAATATTTGATTTATCATTATCATTGTTATTATTATTATTATTGTTATTCAAAATTTCACTATTGATATATTTGTAGCTATTATCATTGTTTGAAATGATTTCAATATTACTAGTATTAAATTCATTTTTATCTTCATTTTTAACCATTTCATTGGATTTCTTTTTTCTTCTATATAAAATAAGAATAGCAATAAAAACAATAATGAAGATTGCACTAGGTACAATAATTATAGCTAGCTTAGCATCACTAGTAGTGTTTGAAGAATCTTGTCCAAAATTATCAGAATTTGTTGCAGAAGTATCTGTAGAAGTTTGTGATGGTGCTGGTGTCATAGAAGTTGATGATTGCATTGGAATCTTAGGTGTATATGTTTCCAACCATGTATAAGTTGTAGAATCAAGTATAAATATATTTGATGATACTTTAAAAATTTCTTCATCTAACTAATATAAAATAAAACATTTTATTTTTAAAATTATATAGATATATGATAGATATATAAATAGATATGAAATAGATATAGTAATATTTTTACTCACCATAAATCCTATGTAATAATTTGTTTAAAAAAAATTAATAAATAATTAAACTAATAAATTTATTTTCTGACAATTATTATAATTATTTACCATATGTAATTATAATATTAGTTCCAACCAATGTCATTGTATGATCAAACAATCCTGGTGGTTTAGCTATTCCCACAGGTTTGATAGTTTTCCATGTCAGTGTAGTTGTATCAAGTTCTAACACATCATTATAAATAGTTGATGCATCAAAATCATGACCACCATAAATAATAATTTTCATGTCTGTTGCTAATGATAAACAGGAAGAAAGATATAGTGTGTTGATAGATATGCATGTAAATAATCAATTAATTTTGCTACAAAGATATTTAATATTTGAAAACTTACTTCCAACAGCTCGATGACCTCTTCTTTGAGGAGGTCTATCACCTAAAGCAGTCTAAACATTTAAAATAAAATTATTTAAATTTAATAATTAAATTTAATAATTAAATTTAATAGTTATAATTATGATTACAATGTAATGAATGTAATGTAAAAACATTTAACCTTTGAGGTCCAAGTATCTAGATTAGTGTCATAAATAGTAATTAGATTCATGTCTGATAGGGGAGGGGAACCTGTACCAGCCACCACATTACTAATACCACCAATAACATAAATGAGATTATCACTTAGTAAAGTTGAAGTATGATGAGAAATTCCTTTTGGTAAAACACTTATTGCTGACATTTTAAATATGTTTGTTAATGAATCATACACACATAACGTATTTAATGTATCACTGACATCATCATCTTTTGAAACAACAGGTGAAGATCCACCTAATATAAAAACTTTTGAATCATATTTGGTGACTGAGGTGTGTAGCACACGATTAGTACATTCTGTTGTAACTGCTTTAGAAGCTAATGACTTGCTTGTTGTATCAAAAATATATAATGAATCTGGGAGTGCCTTCCCATTTGACATTCCACCAAATATTATTAATGAATTGTTATTTTGACCTCCAATTGACATACTGTGAAATGCAACAGGACTATCTGCTGTTAATGGATTCCATACTGGATTTTTTGGATCAAAGTTTACTGATACATCCAAATACAATATATCATTTGTGTCAATGCCAGGATTAAACTCAGGTTTAAACTCAGGTTTAAACTCAGGATTATTCGTAGTTAAGAATCTACCTCCATAAACATACAAACTTTTTTGAAAGAGAAATAATTAAAAAATATTGAAAATAATTTTTGAAATGTATGTGTTTAACTTACTATTTTTCACCCACTAATGTAGCTGCATGACCCCTATTATTATTATTTTATCATCATTATCATGATTGTTATTATTATTGTTATAAATAAAATATTATCTAGTCACTTACCATCTTTTTTTAACTGGATCACAATTGACCAATAAAGAACCATTTAACAAAATTATTGATAAAATAATGATAAAATATTTTATTTTAAAAATCATAACATTCATTGTCATTGCGATTATTATGATTATATAGTTTCTTTAAAAAATTTTTCTTTGATGAATCTGTCATAAAATACAGATATGGATTTGAACTAAAAATGGATCCTCAATAAATAATACAGTCGTGCGCAAATATTTGCATAACACTATTCAAATTGATGTTGTTCTCTGTGTAAAACGCCTTTTCTAAAAACCAATCACTTTGCTACATGATATAATAATAAAATCAAATGAACTCAAAAGCTTCGACCGTGTTTCTTCTGTTCATCATAATTCACTGCAGGTGTTGCTTCCCAATTACTTTAATAAATGATTCAATGCTTGGTTGCTGATTTCAATATAGCATTGTTGATATGGGGTTAGTGTTGATCGTCAAAACTAAAAAGTTATATGTCAAAACTAAATCAAAAGTCAATAGTCAAAAATCAAAACTAGTTTCGACTTATGGCGAAACCTTTTGACTTTCGCATGATCGCGAAACTTTCTGGTTTTGGAAACCAACACTATATGGGGTGCAGACAGCAGAAATGAGTCAAATTTTTTGTTACAATAACAAAATTTATTGCAATTGCAAAAGTTTGATTAGTAAAGCCAAGAGTATTTTACAAGTTTAAATTGTTTTCTATAGCATCAATTTTTTGAGTAAATGAATTGTCAAAAGGGCCAAATCTTATTATTTCACCATAAAAAACTCGCAATTATGTTTAAGTCATTTGTTATATAGATAGCAGAAAACATGATTTGATTTGGTACGGACCCGGACATTTTGCCGACACCCACTTTACCGACAGGACACTTTACCGACAAGTATTGTGTTAACAATTTGCCAAGGACTGTGTGAAGACCTGGATAACTAGCTAAAAGTTTGGTTTTTTACAACAAGTTAAATCAACCGTAATTAACTAATAACACCATTTATTGTCCTTACTTTGCATCAAAAACCAGTTCATAAAAATACAATATAGATACATGTGTAATATTTTTTTTTTGTCTGACGAAATTGATAAAAATTGCATATTCATGTTACTTATTTACCAATCATTTACAAAAAACTTTTATTGTGACACATTAATTATTATTATTTTTATACACAAAAAAAAAAATAATTTTAAAAAGAAACTTTATAGTTGATCTAATGTTACGATCATTTAATATTGTTTGAATCCGTATTTCACGATTACGATCTTGTGGTTTCTGTGGGGGTGTGGTGTATCTCGCAAGACCATTTCTACGTCAAGTTCGACTTTACTTTGATTATTATTATTTCTTGCAGTTGCCTGAAATTTTTTGCTATTCCTATAAAAATTGAATTATCATAAAAAAAGGTCATTATCATATTTTGTGAATAAGATTAATACCAAAGCATAAAAATGACACTCCAATCCGAACCGAAAATTCGGTTTATATTAATATTTGACCCATAATTTTGGACATCCTAAATTCACCAACTATGCAAAAATATACATAATAATTTCAAAAAAATCATAATAACTTGTAGCTTAAGCAAAAGAGGAACATTACATTGGTCCTTGTAATTCTGGCAATACCAATGTTCACTTTGTCTGGTTTTGTTGCAATATGACAATTTATAATTCCGTAATTTGATCGACGAAATGTGCGCATCTAAATTTTGTATTGCACGATGGAATTTATACATTGTTCGTATTAACTTTAAAACCTTTATAACTCTTCCTTTATTAAAAAACTCCGCATTATTTTTGCAATTCTTAATCTAGGCAATAATGTAATGTTGTTTTTGTAGTTTCCATATATGGTTTTCGAACCTTGGTATTTTAAAGATTGGCAATTTTTTAGATGTCTTTAGATGATGTGACCATACGGCAAGTGTGAGCGAGGAAAGTAAGAAGCAAGCAATCGACGAGTAAAAATGAGGAAATAAAGCAATAGAGAGGAGAGAAAGAGAAAAAAGAGCAAGAGTAAACGAGCGAGAACGACTCTTATATCCAAATAATCTAAGAGATTCTACGCCTGAAATTTTTTTTCATTCCACCAATAGATACAATGAATGATGTTAGTTGGGCTAATTTGACATTTTATCACTTAAAACAATGATTATATATCTGACTTGGCATGTGCGGATAATAATAACTCCGGAGGTATTAGTATTTGTTGGTTTTTTTACCATGTAAAAATTATATAAATAGTCATTGTTATCATTAGTTGGTCCTTTTGTGATTAAAGTTTTTGAAAACTAATAAAAAACGATTGCGTTCACAATTTTACATTTGTTCCTTTTACAGTCAATTTTTTTCTTTTTTCGAAACATTTAATGAAATAATAAATAATAATAATTCATTATTTTGCTTTTAGCATATACAATGATTTAAAGTATCCATTTATAGAAGTGATATTCTATTGGAATTTGTTACACGTGTAAAAAAAGTGATTAAATATTTACTATTACGCATTTTTTTCTAGCCCCTTCCTTATTGTAGGCACCGTATTTTTACTTAGTTTGGTAAAAGAAAAGATTAATTCGAGCTCATTATAATTTTTTTTATAAAATGGTTCCAAAACCTTAAATGGATTTCAATTAATCATATATTTAAACGCACCAAAAAATATCCTAAATAATAACCATTGTTTTTTTTTAAAAAAAAATGGATAAATTTCGTGTAAATCCTAAATTAACAACAAGTAAATTGATATTAACACCAAAACAAAAAGAAGAATTGTATCATTTATTGGAATTAAAAGATCTTACCAGTAAAGATTATTTTGAAACAAAATTTTGGGACGACTCTGATGAACAGCAAGAGGAAGCAAATGAATTTCTAACTTACCATGGTTTAATTCAACCACTTCTTGAATCTTCCACTAGACGTTGGAAGACAAGATGGTCCGATAAGAATGATAGGTACGGGAAAAAAATATTGTATCAATGTGCTTGTGGAACTGATAAACAAAATGCTTTTAATAAAGTTGCTCCCGATAAACGAAGAAAACTTAGACAAATCTATGAATTTGTTGGTTGTCTGGCTTTTGTTAAGCTTGAGTTTGATGAAACTAACACCAAATACAGACGTCTGCATGGTTATCTAAACCATTCCGAAGCATGTCACCGTGGAATACCAAAAATCGAAGGTCCAACTTTAACAATCAATCCTTTGGTCAAAGCAATGACTGAATTAATGGTCAAGGCAAACTTTTCCATTAAAGAAATCATTTCAATCAATCAACATTTGATGAAAAATCATCTAAGTAGTAGGATTGACTTGAGAGGTGAACATTTTCTAATAACACTATATGATATTTTGGATGCTAGACGCTCATTGTTGATGTCCACGAAAAGCGAAGCAACTTCATGGAAACTAGATATAAATAAATCCGTAAGCTACAATCTAAATCAAATTTATGGTGAGAATTGTTCTAAAGATTCTGAAATATATGAATCAACTATTTACACCACATCAAAAGATCAGCGTAAACTTTATAATCAAGTGGAAATGGTATTAGCAACACACAAACAGTTGGCTTTAGCAAGGGAATACGGTCAAAATAATTATATTATTTTAGATGGTAATTTTTCAACAGGGAATAAAAAATCACAATTATATGTCATTTTTGTAATTGATGAATCTGGGAGAGGAATTCCAGTAGGATATTTATTATACAAAAAACCTACAATTCATAATGATGATCATGAACTTGAAATATTAAAGCATCTTTTACTAGAATATAAAAATAAATTAAGTCTTGAGTGTAAAAGAGAATTTGTTCCAAAGGTATAAAAAAAAAACAACCCCTTTTTTTTTGTACCAACTAATTAATAACTTGCTTATTAAAATTTATTTAAAAGGTCATTATGATTGGAGCAAGTCTAAAGGAACATCTTGCAGTTTCTTCAGTTTGGGAGCATACTAATGCACAAGTTTTATATTCTGCTCATATAGTACATCAATGTTGGTTAGATAAATCAAATCAATTATTTGGTGCAGATGATGATAATATTTATCAAGATAAGAAGAATTTTATTAATGATGAATTAGGAAAGTAAGTAAATTATTTTTATTTGTAGTAATTGATTTTTTTTTATCAAGAAAAAGAATTGAAATAAAGTGTTTAGGTTATTAAAAGGAATGTCAAGTGAGAATGAAGTAAATAGAATACTACTTGATATTGAACAGTCTGCAAATGTAAATTATTGGTTTTTTTTTTTTTATAATATTAAAAAAATTTTCTTTACAACATTAACAAAGCACTATTTAATATATATTTTTATTTAAATGCAGTCTGATATTAGCACATATAGATCAGATGTTAAAAAGTTGATCATATTGAATGGAGCTTTGGAATTTGTACAATATATTAGAAATGATTGGATGGATAGAAATAAAATGCGATTTTGGGCTTATTCTTCTAGAGAAAATATTATTCATGAATTAAAAATACCAACAACTGATGCTTATTTGGAAGGTTTTAAATTACTATTTAAACCAACTAGATTTCTAAGATTTCAACAAAGAGGAAATGTGCTACGTATGGATACACTTTGTGCAATACTTGCCAAATACATTTCTCCATTATGCGAGATGCAAAATCAATTATGGAACGATATAAAAGAAACATTGGATAAAGAAAAGGAACCATTGCAGGAATATATTGACGGGAATATGTTGGAAGAGGGTCAACTAAGGGAGCTTCTAGCGAGAAATATCAACACAATAGCGTTCCAAGATATTAATAAATATGAAGACATAGAAGCATCCAGATTTATTCATAACAATTGTGTTGATTTTATTGAATTTAGTCTTGACAAATATTTATTTGTCACCATCAAAACTGGTCAAAAAAATCTAGAGCATGTACCTGACAATCCTGATATGGATTATTACGTTGTACAGTTGTTGCCAGAGATTAATTGTCATTGTATGAGATATTTGATATGGGGTGGTGCGTGTTCACACATTAGAGCTGCCATACA